TATCGATATTTTTTTTTCTCTCTCTCTCTCTCTCTCGGAAAAATATATTTATACAAACATTTCTAGCTTTTTTCCCCCCCCCGTGGTAACTAAAATAAGATTTTAAAAGTTTAAATATTTTTTTAAAAAATTAGAAAACCGAACCTATCTGTCTTCAAAAGTGTCAGTAAAATTAACAAACGTCACTTTCGTCATTCCAAATTTTTTTTTTTTTGTAAATTTTAACTTGCCATTTTAATAAATTTTGCTATAATCATATCAATAAAAATCTTGTCGTCTGCATAAATAAAAATACTCAAGTTTCGTTACCGCAAAAAAAAAAAAAAAAATCAATCATTAGAAAAAGCAAAAAAAAAAAAAAAATAATTTTTAAAAAATAGTATTTATGACGGTAGCAAAAAAAAATTAACAGCAAAATCGTTAAGTCATCGTAAAAATATATTATTATTATTATTATTATTATTATTATTATTACATTTTTAGCTTAAAGCATAAAAACAAAAGGTTTTTTAGCTCGTTGTGTATAAAAAATTAAATTTATTTAAAAACTTTTTATAATTACTAGAATGAATGTGGGTTGGGCATTGTAAAATAATTCTAGCTAATATTAAAACAACAACAACAACAAAAATAAAATATTTGATATCGCATAAAGAAATTAAACCTTTAAAAAAAAAAAAAAAAAATTTTAAACTTTAATATTTAAGAGCTTAAAACAAAGAAACTAAAAATAGAGAAGAAGAAGAAGAAGAAGTAGAAAAAAAAAATATATATCAACCAACAAACTTAGCTAGCTAGCTAAAACAAACAAACAACAACCAAAATAAAAAAAAATTTAAAGGAACAATGAGGGCGTTAACAATCCCTAAAGAAACATAAAAAACTGATAACACGAGATTATATAATAATTTTTATAACCCAAAATAATAATAATAAAATTATCCACGTTATTGTTCAAAAACCAAAAAAAATAAAAATAAAACAAATGATAGGAAAATAATTTTTATTACTCTTAATTGAATTAATTAATTTACAATTGAAAAATTTTAAATTAAAAAAAAATTTCAATTTTTTTTTCAATTGTTTACAACAAATTTTTAATACGCGTTCGACAAAAAAACATTGCAAAGTTCAAAAGTACTAACAAACAACCTTTGTGACCTTTTTCATCAATCTATGCAATTCGTAATAAACAAGGAATAATAATAATAATAAATAATAATAATAATAATAATAATAATAATAATAATAATAATAATAATAATAATAATAATAATAATATAAATTTGTCGCGAAACGTATAAACATATTTTTTTTTTTTTTGTTTTCAATTTTGTTTTCTTTCTTTAACTTAACAAAACTTTCTCGACATGTTTTATTTTAATTTATTAAAATTGTTTTTTTTTTTTTTTTTTTTTTTTTTTTTTTTTTTGGGATGTATAAATTATATTTCTCTCTCTCTCTCTCTCTGTCGTGGTTAAAGAATAATAAAAAAAAAGACCCTTAGATTATCCACGTCTTTTTTTT